GAGGGGGAGGGGAACAAGGAAAATGAGGAGCTGATTCCAGGAACCCAAGCAGAAAGTGAATTTTGAGAATGATGAGGGCAACAAATATATAAGTGTGCTTTACACAATTGATGTACGTATAGATTGTGATAAGAGTTGTATGAGCCCCAATTAAACGATTTTTTAAAAAAAATTTTAAAATAAGCAAAACAAAAAAATATGTATAGTAAGAATTACAAAGGTGTTCACAATGCTATAAAGTACTAATCAGACTTTAGGACTATTAGTTAAGATAGAAAGACAAAAGTGTAGTAATAGAAAAAAAACCCAGTAATTTTGGCAAAGGATATCTGACACAACAACTGGTTTCTTCTTGTCAGGACTGAAAGCATCCTTTCTCTTTTTTCTTGACTGAAGCTCATCATTCCATAGCTCTGAAGAGTACATAAAATACAAAATATTAGCAGATATCTGGTGACCAAAGGAGGAAAACAGAACTAAATAATTTCATACTATTTATTTTTGCATAAGACTTCATTAGTAGATGAGCCCCTGATAAAATGATTTTTTTAAAAACTTCATTAGTAGCAATGTGCATACATATATATGCTTAAGAGTATAATAATGTCATGGGGAGGAGTATATGTTAATAAACATTCCTATCCCTTGCTAAAGATAACATCATCTTGAACTGCAGGCAGCAGAATAACTAATGCCTGAGGACCACATCCAGCCCTTTGAGATGCGTACATGACAGGTACCGTTTCACCATATCCTTAGAGCTACCTGTGAGGTAGCTATTCTTACTACTTCCATTTTACAGATAAGGAGATCAACTAATGGGTAATGGAGTGCTGGCGTCAAGAGTTCGGCTTGTCTGACTTCGGTATGCCTACTCTGTACTAGAGACATATAATCTATGTCAGATAAAATAATACATATTCAAGAAGTATAGGATACCCTAGTAAAACTTTCACCTAATACAGAAAGCCTTTCCAATATTCCTGGAAAAGCCAACACTGGTCTGTCCTTTCTCTGAGCCACAAGTTTGCCTCCCTGTATGTAATCTATCCATTTGTCAGTTCATTTAGAGCAGCGGGTCTCAATCTGTGAGTTGTGACCCCTTTGGGGGTCGAACAACCCTTTCACAGGGGTCACTCGATCCATAACAGTAGCAAAATTATAGTTATGAAGTAGCAACAAAAATAATTGTATGGTTGGGGTCACCACAACATGAGGAACTGTATGAAAGGGTTGCAGCATGAGGAAGGTTGAGAACCACTGGTTTAGAGCCAAAGAGAAAGGTTTTCAGTCCTTCTTCCACATGACAGGCTCTCCAGACTTGGAACGACGTACACTGTAGTGGTCTCCTAATACTGTTCTTGTAACAGATTCCTGTCACACTTTTTTGGTCCCTTTCCCTGTGCTCCACTTCCGTACATCTTTTTAAAGTATGAATTCAGATCAAAGTAGTAGTAGTAATCACATCAAATTCATTGCAAGTCTTCCCTTTTATTAGGGAACTTCATAGAGATGCCATTTTTGAAATCAGAAGCCTAAGATATTATGAGACACTGCTGCAAACCAAAGGCTCAGTGTCACTGGAATCGTACATCCTGATCCCACTGTCCGTACCTGAGGTAATATCAATACTGTGCCTGTCCTCTTCAAGCCTTCGTATCTTCTCCTCTAGCTCACTCTGGACTGTGTCATACAGCAGAAGCTTTTCACTCTGGACAAGCAAAATAAAACAGATCACACATCACAATAAATAAAACAGGTCCATCGCAACTAACAGCGCCAAATCGCTTACTCTTAAAATACTTTCATAAGCAATGCTTTCGTTTGCTCTCTTAGCCCACTTAAGAATTTTAGAGAAATGTCAAATATCTGGAAGTAAAACTATGGAGCACATTCTACATAGCGAGTTAGATAAATGCAATTAAATTATATTTATGAACATCTAAATTTATATGTAATAAGTGAGGTAATACTTATTTTTTTTAAATCATAGCAAACTCTCACACCCTTTTATAAACATAAGCAGATTCCGCTTGTTTCTGGGATGATATCATTATAAAATCGAATCACATTTTCCTAAAGGAATGATAATTAAGTGTATTCTTTATAAATATCTTAGCATCAAATTTAAATAGCCTAAAATACCACATAAAGGCTCACATTAAAACTATATAATCATCTAAAATAATTCAATTACTGTTGAAATAATAAAATCACAGACTAACCGTATCTAAAGGAGCTCTGGTGTCACCGTGAGATACACATTGGGCTGCTAACCACGAGGTTGGAAGTTCAAAATCACCCAGCCACTTTTAAGGGAGAGAAATGAAGCTGTGTGCTCCCATGAAGATTTAATATCTTGGATATCTTATATAGGTTCACTATGAGTCCAAATTAGTGCAATGGGAGTGGGTTTGGGTTTTGGCTTTAATCGTATCTAACTATCACAACAAAACTACTAATTGAGTAACTTACTAAAAAAGACAAGGCAGCTCACTGGCAACTGAATTAAAACCCAGATCTATTCTTTCTAGTTGTACTTCTATCTTAATTATAAAGCACTGCATTCTTTATTTAAAAGCCCATAAAACGTACATAAATATAATGTTCAGATTCATTACATTGAAAGCCCATAATAGATTCCCAACCTACCCATTAAATCAGCGGTTCTCAACTTGGAGGTCGAACAACCCTTTCACAGGGGTCGCCCGATTCCTAACAGTAGCAAAATTACAGTTATGAAGGAGCAACGAAATAATTTTATGGTTGCGGGGTCACCACAACATGAGGAACTGTATTAAAGGGTGGCAGCATTAGGAAAGCTGAGAACCACTGCATTAAATGCTTATCTCTAGTAAGGATATTATTAAGCAAGTGGGATCTAATTAGACATACTTGTTTGTGGAAGCTACTAAGATATAGTTAGATATGACTATCTTATGTAAGGCATAAGTCACACCCATTACCAGTATTAACCAGTAAGTCCCCTCTTTGGGGTATGAAATTTAGAGTCTACACATTTTAAGGTGCTCCTTTATAGAAGAGAAAACATGATTTTTGTCATTTTGAAACAAATCAGGAGCTTTAGAGAAAGCAATGAAAAATTATCTCACGTTACTATCTGCAAAGCAGTGAATTATTTAATATGGCGCTACTAGTCATAGCCTTTTTTTACTGCTACCAAATGACTGACTTTAAGAAGGTGAGGGAACACACTGATTGGATTATATGATTCAGGTGAGAGTGATGGTTACCAGGGTTAGTGATGATTGCCATCCTGCTTGGTATAAATCAGCCATCTCAGAAGCAAAGCCAGGAGTAAAAGCACATCCTTTGGACCCCAAGATTCCTGAGCAGCGAACCTCCTGGATCCAGGAGACAGCTTGGACACCAGTGATACGGCAGAGCAGCAGTAACAGCAGAAGATGAGACAGAGCAGGGAGTCCCAGCGCACAAAGCAAGTGAATCTGAGCGCTTCAGGGCAAGAATCTGGTTTGTGGAGTGGAGTGCCCCGGGGGCCTTAATTGGGGACACTGCATTTGCTGGCTACAAAGCTGGAGCCAAGAGCCTTCAGGTTGAGGCTTACAGTGGAATAGCATGTTCTAGGCATTTATTAGCCGCCCCACAAGAGCTTTGTAACATTGCTTGATCAAGGCAGAGGCCAGGTGGATAGGCTTAGGGCTGGAGAGAGACCCGCCTGTAGACACTAAAGAGAAGAATCTGTCCTGACTGAACCACTACATCCTCAGCATTTAGCCATTGCAATCAAATGTCTGACCCAGCAGCAAGGTAGAGGGTGCTAGGGAGGCAGAGAATAAAAGCAGAAAACTCGCCCGGCTTACTACCTGCTACTTTCTAGTTTACTTCCTTTGGATTGTTGTCTGGCCCTTGTTAAGGTCTTAAGTCATCTTCCAGCCTTGTTTACATGGTGCTACAACAATAGGAAATGGCTTACAGAAAATGGAAGATCAGGGCCCACCAGTCAGGATAGTGTGGCAGCTGTAACCAGAGCCGGATTCCCCAACCAAAATTCAGAGCTGGAGCAATAAGGCTTTTGCTTTTAAAAACATGACATTTGAACCAGAGTATTATCTTTCCTTTGATAAAATTGCCCTGGGCCAAGCAGAAGTTCTACAATAAAATCACTAATCAATTTTTTATCATTCATTTTATAAGCCACAATGGGGCTGAAATGCTTAAAGCTATGAAGGTGTCTCTAAATACTGTAAAAAGGTGGCACAAACAGTTGCACCTGTTGTGTACAAAAGGTGGTAAACACTCAATTACCAGCCGAAGGCTGGAGGTTCCAACCCCCCCAGAAGCATCTTGCAAGACACAGGCTTGGTGACTGCTCCTGACAGGCCTCAGAAATTCATGAATCAGCACAGACTCCAAGCCTAGAACAACAACACTTCAAAGTGTAAAGATAGAAGTGTTGCTCTAGTCATCAGATCACGGCCCCCAAGCAGCCTGAGGAGAGGCCCACACAGTGAGAAAGGGAGGCATCCCGCCAACAGCCATCATCGATTTGCCAGGCTAGTGATGAGTCACTTTGGAAGCAGATTCTCCACAATCCTTCAGATAACTGAATCATCCGTTGACATCTTAGCAGCAAATTCACATGATTCCAAGTCAGAATCACCCAGTGAATAGCTCCCACAGTCCTGACCACAGAAATGTACACATGTTCAATGTTGCTTTTCAGTTACTAAGTTTCCAACTAATTTGTTACAAAGCAATAGATAAGCAAGACAAGAGGTCCCAAACACTCAATTCTATGCACCCTTTCCCAGGAAGCTACTGAGAGACACTCTGCGGAACTGAAAGAGAACAAAGTCTAGTGGGAAAGAGAAAGGGAATTTCCAAGGTGGTGGGAAGACACACCCCGTGAAGAGAGTGATGGGGTTCCCTAGAGAGAATCCAAAGGATGAAACAAGGTGGAGACCAGGGTCCTGGCAAGGGTTGCTTCCAGAAGAAAATGGAACTCACAGGTGATCTGCTCCACAGTGCGAACAGCATTAGGGGGCTTCCATGACTCTAGGATCTCTGAGGAAAACAGACAGAAAAAACACCAAACACAAAGAACACTAACCAGCAAAAAAGGAAGCTATTAATAATTCTGAACTTTTAAAAATCTTATTTTAAAGTTATACAATGAAAGACATTTAAGCCTAGCAGGTCAGTGAATACTTATGGTTATTAACCACAAACACTGTGATATACCAGTATTGGAACACGAGGAGGAGAGCTAGGATAGACACCTCAATTTCCACAATAGCAAGCAGATAAAGAATGCCTAGAACTGATTTAGAAATATAAAGGCAAATTCCAGAATCAGCAGCTAAGCCAGTTCAAGGGAATCGCCTCTGAGATGCAGAATTTGGAAGTAGGGCAAGGGACTGTTGTTTTTCCTTTTAAACCTGGAGCCTTCAGGATAGGCCTGCTAAAATTCAGGATATTGCCTGCTAAAATTATTTTTTCTTAAAGAGTATTTTGAGCAATAGGAAAACGCTCATGAAATGTTGCTTGAAAAAAGATACAAAGTAGGATATATAAAATGCTACCAGCCATGTAGAAAAATAAAGACACAAACATACACATACTTATTAACAGTGATGGCGTCTGGTTGGTATTTTATAGCTGACTTCATTACCTTCTTTACCCTTTTATTTCTTAGGTTTTCTCAATAAAATCTTACTAATGTTATAATCAAGAAACCCTGGTAGCTCTGTCAGTTAAGCATTGGACTGTTAACTAAAAGGTCAACAGTTCAAATCCCCCAGCCACTCCTTGGAGGGAAGATGTATAGCTTAGGAAATCCTATATAGGGTTGCAATGAGTGTCAATCAACTTGACAACAGTGGGTTTAGGTTTTTTGTTTTTTACTGTTGTGAGGATACTCACCAATTCCTCTGAATTTTCCAAGAACTGGAACCTAACCTGAGCTCTGAGACCTTGCTACCACTTATTGTCAGATCTTAAAACTTCCCTATGGTGAGGTGTTTAAGGATCCCGGGTGGTGCTGTAAGTTAGTTGTTGGGCTGCTAACTGCAAAGTCAACAGTTCAAACCTACCAGTCACTGCTGGAAAAAGATGACGGTATTTGCTATCATAAAGATTTACAGACTGAGAAAACCTGTATAGGGTTTCTATGAGTAAGAATCAACTCAATGACAAGGAGTTGAGGTTTGGGGGTGTTTGCTTTGGAGTTTTTTGGGGGGGCTGTTTAATGAATGGTGACACTTAACTAAAAGAACCTAAATAAATACAGCAGCTCTCTCTGTCCTGGTGTCCGGCACATCATAGTACAGCACTCGATAAGTGTGATTTCCAAGCATGCTTTGCTACAAACCATCAGTTGTCTTGGTTTCCTCGGTGGTTTCTGGCACACCCACACCCCTGTGGCCATGTCTAGTCTGCTCCTTGGTCCCCTGCTTCTCTATCGGCTGCGAAACAAACTCTGATTCTAACCACTGATACAATAAGTCCCTTTTCTCTTTCCACTGCCTCTAGTAATGTTTATGTGTGAGTCTAATGTGGAACTAAGTAATAAGCAGATAAAAGCCCCAAATGATGAAGTTCAGATTTAGTGGTAAATTCTAGAAAGATCAAAGGATGTGAATCCTGGTTCAGCTGCCCATTAACTGCATGACCCTCAGTGACTTTCTTAACCTTTCTGCACCTCAGTAACCTCATCCATAAAATCAAGATACTTCCTATCTCAAAAGGTTATTATAAAGATCAAGATGAATGAATGTAAAATACATATAACTTTAAACCCTGTCACAACCTGTGAAACATATATCGCCCATCAGCATTTCCAGCCTCTCAGGATGCTCGGCAGCTGCTAACCCAGGTGTAGTGTATGCTGTCGCTTGGTGGGAACTTGTATAGCTGTGTGAATCTGAAGAAACAGGCCTTATCCCACCAATGCTGCCACTCAAGGACATATGTGACTCATGTATTTGTAACAAAATCCCTATTACCTCAAAATAGAATTGCATTTTCCTTGATTTCAGTCTGCCTTCCATTACTGAAAACATAGTATCCACAAAGACTTGAAAGCAGAAAATAATTCTGTCATGAATGGAGTTAATTGCAAATTTTCTTTCTCGATTTCCTTTGCGCCTACAATTACTTTTACATACTGGTGAGTAGCTTCAATTACACAGTTATTTATGAGATTAATCCTATGGTAAACATAAAAATCACCAAACCATGCCTACACTAGAAGGAATTTAAATTATTTAGAAAGACTCAAAATTCAGTAATCTTCAGAGAAATAAAATAATTATATATTTCTATGTAAGAGAGCATTACCTGAAGATAACTTTTTGACTTTTGTTTCTAGTAATAGACTCGATCCTAAAGAAAGTAAAAGACTTTTAAAATATCCCAATATACCTAGACAAAAATCCTGGATAAAATTTCAAAAGCATTCATGTAAACATATAGCTAAACTCTTAAAATTAGAAATATTCCTAGGTACAAGAAAACTACGAAGGTCCTCGGTGTTAGTTTGATCTTGGTGGAACGCAGAGCATATCAGAAAGAGGTTTGTTCATGTCTTTCTGACACCGCAAAACATCCAGTCATGTGGACCCTAACAAAGGATGGATAACATGACAGGACATGAGAATTCCAGAACACTTCATTGGTTCTTGCACATAGATCAAACTGAACAACGGCATACTTTGTTGTTTAAATTCAATTGGGAAAGGTGTGCATGAGGATTGTATCTTTTTACCATGCTTATTCCAACTGTGTCCTCAGCAAATAGCCTTAGAAGCTACATTGTATAAAGAATAATGTATCTGGATTAGGAAGAAGACCGATTAGCAACCTGTATCCAGTATACAAATGACATAACCTTACTTGCTGAAAGCTAAAGGAATTTGAAGTATTTACTGATGAAGATCAAAGACTATACAACCTTCAGTATGGATTATACCAACAATCAAAAAATTAAAAATCATCCCAAATGGGCCAGTGAGCAGCATCATGATAGAGAAAATATTTAAGTTATGGTGCAGTGATTTACTTGATATAGCTCTTGAAGCCTTATCCTTGTAACTCCCACCGGATGACCTTCTGGATGGGTCCAAGTAAGATAAGGTGGAGGAAGATGCTCATGGGATTATATGATTAAATTGTGAGTGATTATTAAGAGTTAATTAGGACTGTAAAAATCTGGAACTCTCACGTGAGGACTGGTCTTTTTTATCATCCCACTAAGTACAAGATAAGCCATTTCTGAAGCAGGGACAGAAGATCTCACTACAGGGAAGAAAAAGGAGCCCAGAGTGGAGCGTAGCTTTTGGCCCCTGAAATTACTACACACTGAATCTCCTCAATTCAGGACACAGAGTTGTGAGACAAGAGTGGCAGCTGCAGAGGCAACAGTCAGCGCACAAAACAGAGCAGTGAGCTTCCCAGTCCCTGAAGCCGAGGGCCTTCCATTATGGAATGGGTGCCTCCAGACACCGCCCCCGTGCCGCCGCCGCCGCCCCCGCCCCCCCATGTTAGGTCAAATCCCCTAATCGCTAAGCATTTCCTATGAGTTCTATGTGGTCACTGCAATGAGGTATCAAATCCAGCGAGATGTAGAGAATGGCATGGGAGGGATGGTTCGTGTCAAAATTGGTATAAAATGGTTGAAGGGTGAGGCATGTCTGGCCTCTACCTCCTATGAAATCAGCCCTGGGCTGACTTCAGTTTGAGTCTCCTTTCCCTTGTGAAGTACGGAGGTCAGACTTGACCCCCCAGGTCATTTTTACAGTTGCCAAGGATCTCATTTTACGTGGATGCACAATCAACACTTATGGAAATAGCAGCCAAGACATCAAAGGTTATCGCTCAATGTACTTCCTGGTATGTAACTACAAAACTGCAACTCCCTGTTTCTGCGGGGCCTGCCTTGACAACTCTAGTCCTGATGTGCTTGCTCCCTGTTTGATCAGAGTAAGCCCTTCCTCCTTCACTTAAAAAAAAAAAAGAAATCAAAGGGCATATGCATTGGGCAAATCTGCTAAAAGGGTCTTTTTTAAAAGTTCTAAAAAATGTTTGAAAAAAACATGTTACTAAAGACAGTGAGGACAAAGGTGCCCCTGACTCAAGCCATATTTTCAATCAGCTCAAATGCATGTGAAAGCCGGCCAATGCATAAGAAACATCCAGGAATTGATGCCTTTGAATTACAGTCCTGGCAAAGAAAACTGAATATGCCATTGGCTTCCAGAAAAACAAATCTGTCTTGGAAGAAGTATACTCAGAGTGCTCCTTAGAAGTGTGAATAGTGAGACTTCATCTCACATACTTTGTGTTACCAGGTGGGACCAGTTCCAGGAGATGGACATTATGTTGGGTAAAGTAGTAGCTGTTGCTGCTCTTGTTGTCAGGTGCCGTCCAGTCAGTTCTGACCCACAGCGATGATCTTATGCAAAACACCACAAAACACTGCCTGGTCCTGTGTCGTCCTCACAGTTGTTCCTAAGCTTGGGCCCACTGTTGCAGCCACAGGGTCAATCCATCTCCTTGAGGGCCTTCCCCATTTGGCTGCCCATTTACTTTACCAAATATGATGTCCCTAGTTGTGGTAGGGTCAGTATAAAAGAGGAAGACTCTCGCAGAGATTGATTAAAACAGTGGCTATAACAATGGACTTGAACATAGCCATGATCGTGGGGATGATGCAGGAGGAGACAATGTTGAGTTCTGTTGTACCTGAGATCATTGTGCCTGAGAGCCTACTGGAGAGCATCTGACAACAAAACCCTGATAGGCTGGCACTCCAACTTGCAAATGAACATCTACTCTGGCAAGTTCCAGCATCCCCACTCTCTGTGCTGTCCCAGCCTGGACTGCCATCGGTAGGGGCTGCAATTGCACCAATTTGATGACATCTAATGACAACACGCTTTTGGAGTCCCTACAAGCACAAACTAATCAAACTAATCGACGACTGGCCAAACGGTGGTAGCTGAACCAAAGCCCTTCCGAGACATCCCTGGCAATGTGCTTCCAGATCGAAACCCTGTGGGGCAGTTCTAGTCTGCACACATGGGAATGCCATGAGTTGGAATCAACCTGCTGAGAACTACTAACAAACAAATACTGTTAAGTTGATCTTATGTTGAAGTGATCACATATTGGATATACTGGGTTAAAAATATAATAAAATTAATTTTACCTGTTTTTTTTAAAGACTTATAAAACATACCCCATTATTCCTGGTATATTTATGTATGTTTTCCAACTTATATGAAAAATTATTGCCAAGTTAGCATTGTTTAATAAAAACTGTTGAAAATAAACAGAATATAAAGAGAAATACCGCTGTTGGCCTATAAATAGTCTTTGCTTCAAATGTGTAAACATGCATTGAGAGTCAGAAGTTAATTTATAGCCCATCATATTATGTAACCGCACCATTAGATATGAACGTTTTGCATTTTAACTTCTTTATTATAATAATTATAATAATATCTTCAGTGATGCCAAGTGTTATCTTTGCGAAGACTTTTTCTAATAACAGTTGCACAGAATCATATCGCTCAGGTCTTGCTCCCCCTTCCCACTGCGTGTGCTAGCCCCAGAAGAGCCTCCAATGCAACTGACTTGGGGGAGCTGGCGGGGTGACAGCACACACAAGTGACAGGCTGAAGGACTATCTAGCTGTGTTTCACTTCATCCCATTTTTCACCTACTATACTCAAAAAAGGCTTGAAGAGATGAAATTAGCTAAAAAGTTAAGCAAAACGTCAGTACCTCACAATGTTGGCGAGAAGCTTGAATTTCACATTCATATTTGTTCTTTACAGATTCTAAGCAGAGCTCTCTATAGATTCCTGCAACCAAACACAATTACTCTGATTATGTCAGCAACAAGGGGTTTCATTATCACTTCCTACAAGAACTCGGTCCGCATCGTATTTGATGAGATGAAGAAAGGAGAAATTGACAAGTGACTCTAACTGTCTCTTTGAATGCTAAAAATAAAAAATCATTTAAAATCATTATCAAGGAAGACTTAGACAATAGGGAATTTTAAGAGCTGGGAAAAAAACTATCCAATTTTAGTTATCCCATTCTCCTAAAGAATACTCCTAAATGTTTAACAGATGATGATCAAAATGGAAATAAAAAACATAATAAATAAATAAATAAATAAATCTTTAGGGCTCACAATGAAAACAGAGTGATAATAAAAATGTGTCATCAATCACAAAGCAACAACTTGATTACTATATCTCACCAAAACAGCTGTTTTTAAACTATTATTTCTTTTCAAAGCTCAGAGCTTCCAGAGTGATGATTAAGTGTGTAACTCCACATAGCAAGTTTATAGTGTGAGGAGTGCTCCTGACAGGGCTTTACGATAGAGCTTAACTTTATCAGCAGGGCAGCAATATAGAATAGACAACATAGCCATGCACATTTGCCACCAGGAACATGGCAAATGGTCTAGACATGTATACTGAACTCTGTGCTAGAGTTGGCCCGAGAAATGTAATTCTCTCTCAAGGGTAGTAAAAGCAGAGGACAGAGATCTGGACCTATGCCATTAACCACACACACACACACACACACACACACACAAACACACACATTATTCTATAAAGTAAAACAGCAAACGAATCCACAAAGTTGAAAACTGAATATGTATCCAAGTAATATTTCCTGAACATCCAGTAAGTCAAATAGAACGTCAAAGATGTAAGGAACTTTTCTCATTTTGAGAGTATGCTAAACCAGTATGCAAAGACAGCAAATTAAGTATCACATTACCAACATACTTATATTAAGCACAAGAATAAAATTTGGACTAAGATGTTTAGTTACTAAAGCACAAAACCCTTTTATCCACGTCTTACCTATTAACAGGAAAAAAAAATCACTATCAATCAGGATCTTCATTTATTAACTCTACAATTTTGAAATTGTAAGTGATCTTTAAATAGATAAATGCCTTGGTTATGAGTGCTGGAACCTGACACTGAACCTGGGCCAAACATAAGACTGAATTGTTAACAATAAAGTACTTCTTCATTTCATTTAGTCACAAATGGATGGCCAAATTTACCTGAAAATAAAATACACATATATTCAAATGACCTAGTTGAAGCAGGGTTTTGAACTGGCTCACTCTGATTTGAGGCCTTTCTGAGAACTTGCCTTTCCAGCACAAATACTGAAGCAGACACTGCATTTAAACAAGAGCCCCAGATGGCTTTTACATTAAAACCAATCACAGCAAATGGTGTAACCAAAGTGAAACAGTTCGAAGTCCATTGAAGACTAATCCCGTCCTATAATATCTTGATCAAATATTTGAAAATCTTATAACCAAAAAAAAGGCCCTATCATTCTTATAAATGTCTTGGTATTTTTTCACCTATAAGAAAAAAATGTCTTGGTATTTTCACCTATAAGAAAAAAATGTCTTGGTATTTTTTCACCTATAAGAGTGATAAGGTTAAATTAAGGTTAATTCATTTACTATACAGTTTACCTAATAGGACACTAAACTGTCATGGAACCAGTTACTCTAAAGAAAGGGTATCTGATTTATAATTGTTTAACATGTAGAAGGATCTTCTCAATAACATTGTGAGCAACTTGAGGACTTTTTTTTTTAATTATGGTTAAAACTATACTAGGGAGTGAGCAAAAAGTTCCTGAAAAAATGGAATTAAAAGATCATGGAATTTTTCTGTAAAATTTTAAAAGGCCCTTGTACAGAACAAAATATTTGTCAAATCACCATATTTCACATGTACAATTCAGTGGCACTGATTCCATCCCTCATACTGTGTAATCATCGCAACCATCTCTTACACCACCATTAAAAGGAACTCATTGCCCGTAAGCAGAGTCTCCTGGCTCCCTCCTACCAAGCCGCGTATCCACTTTATAAGTAACCACTTTGGTCTCTATCTATTTGTCTGTTCGAGATATTTCACCTAAGCCAGGAGACCTTCTATTTGATACCCCAGCAGCAGAAAAAAGCCAAAGGTATTTATTTAATAAGTAACTGCGGGTTGACTGCCAGGGAAAACTAGTCTGATCTGTGTATCCATATGCATAATCTCATTAACTACAAACGTCTGCTTGACAACAGCCTTGTAAATTTACGTAGGGTTCATATCCTAGTATATGGAAAAGATGTTTTGCTCTCCTACCTGCTACCTTTGTACGGATTTGCATGTTTTCTTGCAAAGTTGCCAGTGGTTCCAAATACTCTGGTGCCTTTCCAGCTATGACTTCTTGTAGTTTTGCATCTACCTGACTTAATCGTTCTTTATAAAGCCTAAACAAAGCAAAGATTAGGATATTAATTTTAAAATTCCAACAAAATGGTACCTTTACTACACATTATTTTCTCTTAATCTCTTTCATATTCTATTAAGCCACCAGATTTATTTTTGCTTAGCTCATTGACATTGGTAGAGATTCAGATGATTCATCATTAAATCCTAGTATCAATACAATAAATATACTTTGGGAGAAAAGAACAAAACACCAGTAAGAGAAATCATTATCTACACTGCCTGCCAAAATAATGCATTATCTTATCTGGGCTGAATTTTTCTAAAGCTTAAGATAAAATGACAAACATGCAAAGCCAGAAAAGGACAACATAGTATTTATATTTTTGAAATTATAACACATTAGGTGAAATGCAAAAAAAATTGATACAAGGACTGCAGCTAAGAAAGATCAAATTTATATAAAATATTGGTATTATCCCCAATTTGAGAGCCAGAATATTGAATGAACAGGTGATGTGACTTGACAACACTATTTTGGGTAAATGTTTACAAGTTTTTAAAGAGTGGTGCCAGTTAGTCTATTGGGACGCACAGCAACCCTATAAGGTGCAGGAGAACTGCCCCCAGTGCGTTCCAAAGCGCGCACCTTCAGGGAAGCCGACTGCCAAGTCTTTATCCTGAGCAGTGGTGGGCAGATTCAAAGTGCTGATGTTTTTGCTTAGCAGCCAAGTCCTTAGCCACTGTGCTACCAAGTATCCTTGTTTAAAAGAGCAGACTCTTCTGATTTGATTATAAAGTCATTAAAAGCAAAGACCCTAATCCCCTTGGTAACAAACACTACTTTCAATTAGTGCCTGTTGGATGTTGAATGTGAAAATGAAGGGAAACTTGGTGATATCACTTTCTTTATCTTCTTAGGGAGGTGGAAGAACTCACCTTCCCCCACTATAGAAACTGCAAGTGGTGGGCTTTCTGCCTTACGAAGGGTGTGCTGTTGGGTGCATTATTACTACCATGTTTCCTGCCCCTTCCAGAGGGGTTTGAGATGGTTTGCAGAGACACACAGTACAATAAGATAAAAGTAACAAAGCAAAGCGATTGGGGCAATAGGAAAAAAATCACAAACATGGGGCAAGGATTCATTTTTTTCTGAAACATCTGAAAACCAATTCCTTGTAAAAGAATCTTATCAGATAGTAGTCTGGGTCTACTTTTAATACTCCCGGAAACGAGTACAGCCCGTGGGGGGAACTGGCTGTTGGACAAAGTGAGCCAGGAGAAAACAAAAATCTGCCAACCGCAAGAAGGTTAGGGACAATGACCGACGGGTTACAAAGTTCTCCTATGTAAGAGCTGGTTATAACTTACAGAGGTGTAGTACAGTTTGACAGTAATTTTCATTTCTCACATAACCACAGACGCACTTTAAAAGCCCAATAGTCAAAACCTAATTAAGTGCATGAGGTTCATAAATTACATGTGCTGAAATGGTAAAACATAAACTTGCTTCCAGAATGCCTGGGGTCAACTCTACTGCTCCAGGGATCCAAATTCCTTTCATTTAAAATTAATCATGGAAATCTTTAGAATTAAAAAAAAAATTATACCAGATCTTTCAAAGTCAAATTTTTACAATTTTGTCTCCTTATAGATGTTGGATTACTTATGTGAATTTGCTATATTAACCTGAGACAGCTACATATTTATTTCTAATGCCATTGAAAGTTAAGACCAGAAATATGTAGGACTTGTAAGATAAACATATCTTATGATATGTTTGAACTACCTCCCTAGCAATTACTACTGAGTTTTCATCTCTTCTCAAATCTCTCTCCAGAAAAAGGAGAAAAAGAACAAGCAGCAAAATTCTGGAGAATTCAGAAGTCAGCCTCTGAATTAAGATGTTTAGGTTTTCCGAAGCACTTCTTTCTTTTACAGCCATATTCATATTCACGTCCATGCCAGCAAGTTCCAAAGTGAAAGCTTTTCACTATGGATTGTGTCCCCCCAAATATTTACATTGTAAATCCTAACTTCTATGCCTGTGGTAGCCCTGGGTGGTAGTCCTCAGTTCGAAGCCACTAATCTCACCAAGGGAGAAAGATGGGGCTTTCTACTCCCCAAAAGAGTGACAGTCCCGAAAGCCCACAGGAGCAGCTTTAACCTGTTCTATGGTCGCTATGGCAGTGAGTGTTTTGAGTTTTATGCCTGTGGTTATATATTACCATTCAGGTAATATTACCATTACCATTACCAATTACCATTACCATTACCATTCAGGTTACCAATTACAATTACCATTACCATTTAGGTAATATTACCATTACCAAGAGCATACTGGGTTACAGTTGGGTTGCTGACCATAAGGTCTGCAGTTCGAAACCACCAGCTTCTCTGTGGGGGAAAACTGAGGCTGTCTACTTCCATTAAAATTTACAGCCTCAGAAACCCAAAGGACCGGTTCTATTCTCTCTCCTGGGGTTCCTGTGAGTCAGAACTGACTGGACAGCAGTTGAGTTTGGGGTTTGGGATCTTCATTTTGTTAATGAGGTGGGACTTGTATAGGGTGTGTTTTGAGTGAACCTTTATTGAAATATAAGAAATTAAAACAACCAAGTGAGGGAAGCAGAAAGGGAGGAAACTGAAGTCAAGCCACATGGAGGTATCGCTAAGGAACCAAGAAACAGAAGCTGAGGAGGCAAGATACTCCCCTTGAGCTGATAAGAAGTCTCGCCTCCTAAACCACGACAAAACAAATATTTGGTAAAGTCTCCCACTTATGAGCACGCTGTTGTAGCAGCAGCAGATAGCTAAAACAGATACCTTTCGCTTTTTAATAAAATTGTATCTACATTCTCCCAACTCACTGGGCTCTAATCGTTGTTACTAATCTCAGCAACGAGGGAAGAAAACCAAGACCTACAATGTGCCAAACACATAGTTAAAATGTGTACATATTGTTCATTCCCTCTTCACAGTGAATAACAAGGAAGTATTGTCCCCTTCTAAACAGTCAAAGGAAGCCTGGATTCTGAGCCCAAGCTCCTTCTATTCCACTAGTTTTCCTCCAAAATAATGTGCCTCAGTGGAAAGTACACAATAACACTAAGAGGCAGAAAGCCTGACTTAGTTATCACGTAACTTCTCTGTTACGGATTGAATAGCCTCCCAAAATGTGTGCTGTAAATCCTCTCACCTATATCAGTGGTTATCATCCAATTTGAGAATGGGTATTTTGTGGTATGTTAATAGAACATGACTACCATAGGATATGTTTCAAGCCTATCTCTTTGGAGATATTAATGAGATTCAATTAGCAAAGGATGGAAGCTAATATGAAGGAGAAAAGAGGCCAAGCCCCTGAAGACTGCCGAGGAGCAGAAGCTCAGAAGAGACCAGGACTTTCCTCCAGAGCTGACAGAAAGAAGCTTACTGCCAGAGCCAGCACCCTGAACTCAGACTGCTACCCTCCTAAACCAGGAGGAAATAAGTTTGGTTTGTTAAAGCCACCCATGCATGGTATTTCTATTATAGCAAGTACTAGATAATAAGGACATTCTCTAAGTACTGCTTTTCTCACAAGTACAGTGGTGAGAACACCATCTGTCAACCACATGGAGTTGCTGCAAGAAGCAAACTACAAAATGCATGTGAAAACATGTCATTGTATGTACTGCCCAGAGGGAAAATACAAATAAAAATTTTCCAGAGTCAGGTCTTTGAGAAATATTACAGTATATTCTTAAAATGTTATACAATTATTTAACAAAGGAAAAAAAAAAGTAGATTAGAGCCAAAAAGTGTAACAACAATCCAAGGGGAAGATATAATCAATGTCCACAGAGAAATCTTATTATATAGCCCCTTCCCCCCACCACACCCCCATAATCCCCTACCTCAAACCTTCAGCTTAGTTAACGAGATCATCAGCATACAATTACTGAACCTCTTTCAGATCCGTCCCATAAAACACAAAAGGAGAAGCAATTCAGATGAAGCATGATTACTCTTATGCGAACATACATGGGACAGTTACGATTCCATGGCAACGACCTTCTGGAGACACTACTTACTGATCTTTGAGATCGGTAAACTGTTTTTCAAGATTGGACATTTCATCTAAACACTCCATTCTTCTTCTTTCACAGTCTTCATCATCCATTTCTGTTCATAAAAAATCAAATATCAAAGCAGAATTAATGTTTGCAATCTTATCTGAATTTTAATTCAGACAGGAAGAAAGAACTATAACATGAAGTTGGGTATGCAAGGACTACATTGAGCTTTTTTTTTTTTTAATCGTTCTATTAGGGGCTCTTAAAACTCTTATCACAATCCATACACACATCAATTGTGTAAAGCGCATTTGTACATTCATTGCCCTCATCATTCTCAAAATGTTTGCTCTCCACTTAAGCTCCTGGCATCAGTTTACATTGAGCTTTAAAAGAGAACATTCATCCAAAATAATTTGCATTGTAGATTTTCCTAAATAGCTGAGAGTTAAAGTGACAGCAACCTCTAGCCTAATTTAATTGTTTTGTATATATATGTATGTATGTATGTATATATCACAATATTTGCCACATTTTCAGATGTACAATTTAGTGATATCAATTACATTAATTCATTTGTACCACTGTTAGACAGAGGCTGGCAAAGCGGAAGAAGTATGTTGGCATGAATCTGGCAGAAACTGTAACCAAAGGAGAGGCCCATTTCTCTTAACGTGTGTCTCCAACACAAAGGCGAGGTGGAGATCCTTTCCCCATACAGACCTCTCCAACATAAAGGAAGGTGAAGGACCAATAAGACACATTTTCTTATCAACAGAAGAGACCAGAGATGGTGAAGGCTGGGTAGAGAAAAACAAGATATTCACACTACCTGCCACAATGACTAAATAGACTCTTGGATTTGGGGTCTGAGCGAAGGGCACAGCATGAAGTCTGGAGTGGTAGGATGCACATACCTGGAAGGAGGTACACTAGAGGATCAGCCAATAGCAGAAGACCTGCCAAAAAGCTAGCCTATGGTGGGAGGACCACCATTAAGAATGTAAGGCCATTGTTCGTCCCCCTAGAAGGGGGTTATATGTTGATCCTTGTGATCGATTCCCCATTCTCCCCCCCACCCTCCCCTAGTCCTCCTGGTATCTCTACTCTCCTTGTTGGCCCTGAGATGTTTATCTATCCTGGATTCCCTGTGTTGCTGGCTCTTATCTGTAGCAGTGTGCATGTTCTGGTCTTATCCGATTTGTAAGGTAGAATTGAGGTCATGATAGTGGGGTGAAGGAAGCACCAAAGAACTAGAGGAAAGTTGTGTGTTTCATTGGTGCTATACTGTACCACGACTGGCTCATCTCTCCCCTGTGACCTCTCTGTGCGGGGATGTTCAATTGTCTACAGATGGGCATTGAGTCTCCACTTCATGCCCCCCACCCCACCCCAGTTCACATTAGGTATGATTTTGTTCTGGGTCTTAGATGCCTGATAACTGATCCCATCAAGACCTTATGATCGCACAGGCTGGTGTGCTTCTTCCATGGGGGTTTTGTTTCTCAGCTAGATAGCCGCTTGTTTATCTTCAAGCCTTTAAGACCCCAGATGCTATATCTTCTGATAGCCAGGCACCATCAGCTTTCTTCACATTTGCTTATGCACCCATTTTATCTTCAGTGATCATGTCGGGAAGGTGAGCATCACAGAATGCCGGATCATTAGAACAAAGTGTTCTTGTGTTGAGGGAGTACTTCAGTCTATGGAAAAGTGGGTGAGGGGCGACAGAGGACAATGTGAGATATGAAAATAATAATATATAACTTATCAAGGGTTCATGAGGGAGAGAGGGTGGGGAATGGAGTGGGAAGAAATGGGGAGCTGATATCAGGGGCTCAAGTGAGAAGAGAATGCTTGAAAATGATGATGGCGGCATATGTGCAAATGTGCTTGACACAATAGGATGAATGTATGGATTGTGATAAGAGATGTAAGAGTCCCCAATAAAAGTATTTAATAAAAAAAAGAAAGGAAAAAAGACCCTCTATAGCTATAAAGTAATAAAAAATAAAATAAGGAGTTACATAATCAAAAAAAAAGAATGTACGGCTCGGTTCTGCATTCTGCCAGGGCTTTTAGACTGGCTAAGGGCCCTTCGGATTTCTTTTCCAAAGTATCCCCTTCAATAAACACACTCTTTCTGTTCAAACCTTTTCTCTGACTTAGGTCCGAAAGTAGTCCCTCGCCCATAATCTTTCTTGCAAGCTGGACAAGAACTGTGGAGTAGAGTAGCTGAAACTCTGAGCCTCCTCCACCATCACCCATAACTGCAAAACAGAAACTCAAGGCTTCCTAAACAATGGCTCTCCTTCTTCCCCCACCCTGTCCCCACAACAACAAATTTCCAACTCATAGTGGCCCTATCAGACAGTAGAACTGCCCTTCCGAATTTCCAAGACTTTAAATCTTTACAGGACTAGACAGTCTCATCTTTCTCAGTTGGAATCATTGGTGGGTTCAAACTGTTGACCTGTGATTAGCAACCCAAGCTGTAGCCCACGATGCCACCAGGACTCCTGCCATCTCACTCCCCTGGGAACCACTGATAACTTTGGTATCTATATGTTTGCTTATTATTTCACATAAGTGAGATCATATAACATCTGTCTGTTTGTGGTTGGCTTATGTCACTTGGCATAATGTTCTCGAGGTTCGGTCACATTAGGGAATATATGTAAGGCTTCCTTTGGCCTTTGGGCTAAAGGAGTATGTGTGTAGGTGCCACTACAAAAATATTAACAACAGAAGTGCCGTTGAGTTGACTCCTGCTCAAAGTGACCCTCCAGAGGGTTTCCGAGGCTGTACATTTTTTCAAGGGCAGCCATCCTCATCTTTCTCCCAGAGTGGCCGGTGGTTTTGAACTGCCAACTCTGTGCTCGGCAGTCAAAACAGTGACCTAATAGTGCCACCAAGTTCCTATGTGTATCACTAGACCTATTATTTTATCCCTTTTAACTCATTTGAAAAGAACTGGTTACAAGCTATCACTCTATAGAACATGGAAAACAAAACTGTCACAGAAGCATGCTTCTCAGGTCAATTCATCCCAGTAAGAAGGACACAGGACTACAGCAAACTAGAAAACCTTCCAGGCCTGCTTTTGAGGCCCTCAGACCAAGACAGTCAGAATATGACTCATACCCACATGACCCTAGGACCCCAATGTCTACCAAAGAAATTGCCCAGACAAGTCCCTGAGGGCAAGATGGCCCTCCCTGGATGGACAGGGGAATCACAGCAAAGATACTCTGCCTGAGGGCAACACTCCTTACATTGCTGGTCAAAAGTCAAAAAGAATTCAATGGAGGATGAATTTAGATAGAAACCCAAAATGGGCGTCCTACGATAAACCACAGCCTTTTGCAAGCCCAGTGCTCAGAATTTAAGCGCTAATCCAGCTCCCATTAAAAAAGCAAAGCATACTTGGAAACAGTGCTTTACACATCTAGGAAATACATTTCCTTAGATTCTAGATTTCCTCGGGCTTAAGGAAAACACCACCCCTCGTCTTGTCCTATTGTGGTGGCTTGCATATTTCTATAATGCTGTAAGCTATGTCAACTATATTTCAAATACCAACAGGGTGACCCAAGATACACACGTTTCAGCAACACTTCCCAACTAAGAAGAGACTAGAAAGATCAGGCTGTCCACTTCTGAGGGAACAACAGTGGAACATTGTCAGATATGCTGAAAATCTTATGACTAGCAACAGAACACTGTCTGGTAGAGTACCTGAAGCTGAGCGGAGAGGTGACCATTGACTTCTCCCAGGAAGAGTGGGGATTCCTGAACCCTGTACAGAGAGATTTGTACAAGGCTGTGATGCTGGAGAGCTATCCAAATCTGGTTTGGCTGGGGGGTGATGCAGTGTTTCTGTTGGAGCAAAGTGAACAGCCCTGGATGTTGAGGAGTGAGGTAGCGAGAACACCATGGCTAGGTAGTGAATCAAGGTGGGAAAGCAAGGAAATACTTCTAAGGAAGGAAGCTAAAGAAGAACCATTTCACCGTGAAATAGTGATGAAGAAAAAAAGCAATAACATCTGTCATGATGATGGAAAACATCCCTGCACATGGTTGTTCCTCAGAAAATTCTTCAAGAAATGCTAATAAAATAAATGAGTACATAATGTCATATATGAAAAAACAAAAGATCATTTAAAAGATAGGAAAGCAGGAAAGACTACAGTGGATGTCAGAGGAAACAGATACGTGCTCTTGTTTGTAGAACAGTTTTAGGAAATGGGAAAAAAAAAGATGAAGTAAAATAGCTGAGCAGAAAATTTCAAAGAATCAATGCATTTGAATTATGGTGCTGGTGAAGAATAGTGAAAGTACCGTGAACTGCCAAACACACACACACACACAGAGTACAGCCAGAATGCTCCTTAGAAGCAAGGATGGTGAGATTCTGTCTTGTGTACCTTGGACATGTTGTCAGAAGAGACAAGTCCCCGCAAAAAGACATCATAGTTGATAAAGAAGGACAGTAAAAAACGGGAAGACATATGGCTGCAACAATGGGCTCAAACATAACAATTGTGCAGACGGGCTAAGACCAGGCAGTGTTTTGTCCTGTTATCCACAGAGTTGCTGTAAGTTGGTTCCACATAACAATGCAGAAATTAGCATGGGAGGTGAGCCATGTATGACTTCCTCTGGCTTCCCTATTGCCGAGACAGGGGTCCAACATGCCTCCATGTTCCATCCTTCTTTACCTACTTTATCAACTGTTCCTCCCAAGACACTCTACATCTATGTTGGATTCAATAATTCACGGCAAGCGCCACGCAGAACTCACAAACCATACTCACAATTAAGGAGGTTTATTAGGGAATTTGAGAGGCATAGTGGTTACTCGTTGGGCTGCTAAATGCAATGTCAGCAGCCACCAGTTCAAAACTACCAGCTGCACCGCAGGAGAAAGATGAGGCTTTCTACTCTCGCAAAGAGTTACAGTCTCACAAACCCACAAGGGCAGTTCTGCTCGGTCTTATAAGGTTGCCATGAGTTGAAATAGCCTCAAAAGCAGTGAATTATTGGGGGATCTAATAGGTTACCACATCAGGATCAGCAAACAGTAATTTGCTATAGTCCACACAATCAAATCCCTTTGCATCGTCAATAAAATACCAGTAAATACTTGTCGAGCATTCTCTGCTTTCAGCCAAGAGCCGTCTGACTTCAGCAATGATACCCTTCATTCCATGTCTTCTTCTTTTTCTGGCTTGAATTTCTGGCAGCTTCCTGTCAATGTACTGCTGTAAGTGTTGTTGGATGATCTTCAGCAAAATTTCACTTTCATGTGATGTTGTTAGGTAATTTATACTTTCTGTTGGGTCACATTGCTTTGGAATGGTCACAAATATAGATCTCATCCGTTGGCTGGTCAAGAAGCAATCTTCCAAATTTCCTGTCATAGATGAGTGCTTCCAGCGCTTCTTCAGCTTTTTGTAACACTACAATTGTTACTCCGTTAATTTTTTCCTTTATGCTTTCAGTGCAGTTTGAACTTCGTCCTTCAGTTCCTTATCATATGCTACCTCAAGAAATAGCTGAATGCCAAAAAAAAAAAAAAAGAAATAGCTGAATACCAACCAGTTATTTTTGGTACATTCAAACTATGATTATCCATATGATTAAAAATAGTCCATACCAGACTATTTCAGCTCACATAATGCCTAGGAGAATCATCTTTATGTAGTTCATTTCATTGTTGATGAATTTTCCTAGATTCATACTTTGTACGTTCCACAGTGCAACTGTTAACAGATATTTGCAACTGTCTCTTCTCGTTTGAGTTGTGCCCCATCAGCAAATGAAAACCCGAAGGGCTTTACTTCTGAAGGCTTTCTTTCTTCCACTTCATTATGGTCTACTCTACTTTGAGAAGGTAGCTCTTCCTCAGTCATATTTGTATTATTTTCCAACCTGAGGGGCTCATCTTCTGGCACTTTATCTGACTGTTCTTTTCTGCTGCTACTCGTAAGGTTTTCAGTGGCTAATTCCTCCGACGTGGACAGCTTATTACTTCTTCGATGTCTGGTCTTAGTCTGCTGAAACCTCTTCACTCTGGGTAACCATGCCGGTATTTGAAATATTAGTGATATCGCTTCCAGCGTCATAGCAACACACAAACCATGACAGTAGGGCAAACTGACGGACAAGTGGTGGTCTTTCTCTATCTTGTTGTTAGGTGCCGTCAAGTCGGTTCCAACTCACAATGACCCTGTACATTACAGAAGGAAATACCACTGGGTTCTGTGCCAGCCTCACCACTATTTTTATGTTTGAGTTCATCAATGGAGCCACTTGTGCCAATCCATCTTGCTGAAGGTCTTCCTCCTTTTTGCAGTCTTGCTACTTTTTCAAGCATTCCAAATCTAGGCAGATGACTTTCAAGTTATTATTCCCACACCAGGAATGTTCCACTCACACATTCCCATCTATCAGTTGGACATTCTTAAATGTATCGCCTCAAGTGCAACCTATTTTAAAATATTGTCATACAATTCATCTCTCATTTTTATCCTAAAACTTTTGTTTTATTTAAAACATCAGGATTTTGTGCTAATCCTCACCCCTTTTGTGCTCAACTTGTATTCATTAATATTCTTTTATGTTTTCTTTGAAATCTTTCATGTGTATACCTTTCTTTCCCCTTCATAGCTCAAATCTTTCTCCCAACCAAACTGGTTTTCTCACTCTATTAAATCAGCCTTTGCACTTTTTCTTAAACTGCTCCCCCTAGGATACTTAGGTAACTGTGGGAAGGCCCGTTAGCAACCTTCAATATGCAGATGAAGTAACTCTGTTTGCAGAGAGGAGGACCTGAGGGACTTACCATGGAGCTCAAAGACTATAGTCTTCAGTATGGATTATAACTTGATGAAAAGAAAATCAAGACAACTAGACTAGTAGACAACATGATGATAAACAGAGAAAAGACTGAGGTTGTTAAAGATTGCACTTTAATTGGATCACAATCATGCTCATGGAAACAGCAGTCAAGATTCTGCATTGGGTAAATCTGCTGCAAATGACCATTTGAAAGTGGTAAAGAGCAAAGATGTCTAACGTGTGCTTCACCTAAGCCTCCTATTTTCAATGATCTCAGATGCATGTGGAAGCTGGACAATGAATACACAATACTGGAGAGAAATGGATGCATATAATTATGGTGTAGGTGAAGAAAACTGACAGTACTTCAGACTACCAGAAGAACAAAAAATCCTTCTTGGAGGAAGTACAGCCAGAATGGTCCTGGTGAGCAATGAAGCTGGTAGGACTGGGCCCTGGAAAAGGCCATCATGCTTAGTAGAGAGTGAGTGAAAAAGAGGAAAACCATAATACGGGAATCTGGGATTGACTCGGTGGCTGAAGAAAGGGTTTCAAACAAACAGTGGATCCGGCAGTGGTTCGTTTGTTGTACACAGGATCGCTATGCCTCCATAGTCCTTTTCCGAAAAGATAGCCTGTCTCAAATTTCTGAAGCATTACTTATGATTAAGCATTCATTTTTAATCTAATCAAGCAGTAAATTATGACAGCTTTTTAACTGTCTTCAAGGAGACCAGATTATAACTATCCTAGCTGCTTGGTAGCAATTCAATGAAAAAGAAGGATCCTTCAGATGTGAATTGACAGTAGTTGCAACAGTGGACGGGAGCGGCACTGAATCGTGAGGATGGAGAGGGCTGCTGCACACAGCTTGGCTAAAAGTCAACTCGCTAGCCCCTAACAGCAACATAACCAACACCCTTTTTGAATAACTGACAGTTTGCAAAACGGATTTATGGCATTAATCCCTTCCCACTCTCCCACCCCTACCCCAAATAAGCAAATGAACAAAAAACTAAACTAAAATAACCCAAAGCTAGAAAAGTAGGGCGAAAGAAATTAGTTGGAGGAATTGAAAGCGGGCACAAAAGAGTCCATTTTAAAACATAAGTGGAATCTTTTGCAGAACATCCAAAGATCACCTTGAAGTTGGTCCCATCATCCGACTTGAAAAGTTCAGGGCAATAGAGCGTAAACTGGACAGCTCCCAAGTCAGCCCCAGAAAGAGAGCTGATGGCAAATGTTGAATGGCTGACTCGAAGCAAAGGTTGATAAAATGAGGCTTTCTGCTCTCCTAAGACTTACAGTCTCAAAAGCCCCAGGGGCAGTTTTGCGTCCTATAGGGTTGCGAGGAGTCAGAATCGACTCGACAGCCCTGAGTTTGTCTTCGTAATTTTTTTTAAGTCAGTCCAAGGCCAGCACCAATCTGCCCCGATAATCCACCCACGTTGAGAAGAAGTACAGCTGCAAAGGTGAAAAGAGAAAGAGGTCCGTGGTGTGGGAAGAAGGCATTTCCTGGGTCTTCCAAGCTTGCTGCGGGTCGGCCCGCCCTCGGCACAGCCCTGGACACGGCCCGCGGCGGTCCCCAGAGGAAGCCCAGCAGAGAGCCGTCCGAGGGACCCGGCAAGTCCGGACGCGCACAGCGCCGGGGACACGCCTGGGGCCGGGCAGCGCCCCGCGACCCGCCCGGGTGCAGCCTAGGGCCCGGAGCCAATCCCCGCCCCTAGCCGCTCTCCCCGCCCAGCTCTCCCAGCAGGACTCAGCTGCCCGCGTGCCGAGCGCGGCCTGCCGCGCGCCCCTCCGTGTCCCAGCCCCACTGGGACACGCACCTGAGCTGTCTCCATCCTCAGAGACCGACGAGCTCTCGGTGTCCTCGTCCTCGGAGCTGCTCCCCTCGTTCTCCGCGTAGTCCACCTCCATCTCATCGTGATGGTTTGTCTCCTTCTTATCCCCTCGGGAATGCACCGGCATTTTCCAGCCGCGCCGTCGCCTCCCGCTCTCGGCGCCCAGCCCGGCCACCGCCGCTTCAAGGAAGGGCGCGCCGAACGCCCGGACCCACCCTGCTCGGGAGCTCGTTCTGAACCCCCGGGGCTCCTCCCCGCCCCCCCGGCCCGGGCCTCACAACCTAACCCGCAGGGTTTGCCCTCGGAGCTCTGCCATTGGCGGAGGCGTCCTCCGAGTCCGGGGGCGGAGCTAGCCCTGCTCGGGCGCCATTGGTTGTCCGTCTGATAACGCAGCCTCCCGGTGCGACCTGGGAGTTGTAGTCCTTTCATCTGAGCCAAATCAAGGGCTGCGGTGTTCTCGGCTTCAACATCCCTGAGCACTTCTCTCCGGACTTCAAGTCCCACAAGGCAGGAAAGCTGACACGCTAATCTCTTATAAACTAAACAGATGTTGCAAATTTGGTCTATAGTTTACTCTTTTTTTCCCGCCAAGCGATTGTCCGAGCTCCCTGGATATCCAACATGGTATAGTCAAATGGTAAAAGGTCTTTGGGCTGGAAGAGTTTCCTGCTCTTTAAGCCTGGGGAAAGAACGCTGGCCGCGTAATTCGTTATTACACCCTGGGCTGCTAACTGCAAGGTTAGCAGTTTGAACCCACACACTCGTTTTGCAAGAGAAAGCTTGCCTGCTTCTATAGAGATTTACAGTCTCTGAAACCCAGAAGGGCAGTCAGTCCTATTCTGTCCTGTAAGATCGCTATGAGTAGGATCAACTCCAGGCCAATGGATTTGGTTTTGGATTTGAGTGTAGGTAACTGGAGAACCATTCCACCAAGCCAAGCCAAACAAATAACTGACTGTCATCAAGTGGACTCTGACCTGATACAGGGTTTCTGAGGCTGCAAGTCCTTTTGGAAGCAGATAGCCTTACCGCTAAAAACTATTATATTGAATTAGTAACTTCAGACAACAAAATTGCACCTTATATACTTTACAAAATTTAATTGGTCTTTAAGTTTTGCAATGAATCTACAACGAAAAGAATTTTATTTTGTCATTTTAATTTTTTTCATTTTTCTATTGTAGACAAAAACATTGCATCACACATTTATCAATTCAACCATTTTTTACTTGTAGAGTTCAGTGACCATTAATTACATTCAGAGGTTGTATAGTCACCACCACTATTAGTTTCCTTTTTTTCTTTTCTGTGTTATAAACTTTAATTTTTAACTAATTATTAATTGGGATTTAATACATATCATTCCATAGTTCAGTCATGTCAAATAGAATTGTACAATTGCTACCACAGTCAGTTTCCACACATTCGTTTTCTTCCTGGACTCCTTGACATGGGCTCCCTTTTACTGGCACCACCACCACCACCACCACTGTGCCCCGCCCCACCCCAAACCTTTATTCTACTTGCCTTCGCTGTAGGTTCATAGATGTTATATCCTTGGAGGTCATCCTCATGACGTTTTGTTAATGTTTTTATGCGTTTCAGTGTCCAATTTTTTTTCATCACCCATAAATAAAAGAAGTTCAGTGTCCGCTAAGCAGAAACTCTCCATTCCCCTCCCATCTGCCCCAAGCCCCCAAACCAAAGCCACTGTGATGGCTTCAGAGTAAAACTGTTTTCTGTGATTTCGTCATCTCTTAGAAAACATTTAAGCTGTTTCCACCTTTTGGCTATAGTGAAAAATAATGAAATGAGCATTACACAAATATTTATTACAGTCCCTACATTCAACTTTTTGGGTGTCTATATAAAGGATGGACTTGTTACATTAAACAATGATGCTTTCTCCTGTCATAAGGAGTTACAGTCTCATACTGACGGTGTCTGGAGTACTGTGTCATTGGAAAAATTGATGTCATTGGTACAATTGCCTTGTACCCCGGGGGGATGATTGACAATGTTGTACATTTTTTTTCTTTAAATAGATTTTTGTTTTCCTGCCTTTTGTTTGTTTTCCTTCTCTTTGTTTGATTGATTGATTGATTGATTATTTGCTGGTTGGTTTGCTGCTGGTGCTAATGTAGTGGGTATTATGGGGAGTTGATTTTGTCATAAGTAAACCTCAGTCATGTATATTCAATGGACAGCCAAATGGATTCTAGGGGCCTACGAAACCCTATCTCCAATACAAGATTCTGATAACATGGCCTGGCTTGATACATGCCTTCATGAAATGATCACTAAAGATAAGGGTGCTACAGCAAAGTGTGGTGAAGAGAGCAGATGGCACCTGGCTATCAATCAGAATGGTGTCTGGGGTCTTAAAGGCTTGTATTCAAACAAGCAGCCATATAAGCAAGAAGTCAACTAAATCTACATGGAAGAAACACACCAGTTTGTATGATCCAAAGATGACAATTACAAAATTCAAATATGAGGAAGGGAGAGGTATCAGAGCTTAAATTGTGATCACTTAATTTGTGGAAGGCTGTGGAGCATAGTGGGAGCCCCAACCCCTCTGCAGAGTATCTAGTCAGATTCAACCACTGGGAGATACCCCTTAGCCACAGGCAAAGGTCTAGAACAGCCTTACTATCAAACATAGATAATTATAATCCTTATCCTTATTAGGCTGCATAAAACTTGATACTTGGCCAGTTGACCTCCTTCTAGACCCAATCTGAATTTGTTCTAGGTGCAATAATCTCTTGCTTGATATCCTGGCTTTTTGGATTTGATGGAGGTCTTTTCTTTCCTGTTCACTGTGGTATGTTTATCTTCATTTTGCTATTGTTTTGTCCTTTCCACTACATCCGTTTTTGTTCTTTATTGTTTCTCTTGGGTTTAACAGTTTATAAAGCACACAAGGAGTGGATACATGGAGATAATAACTGATGCAAGGATTTGTAGGGGAGGTAGGGTGGGTAATGGGGGAGATAGGGAGGGTGAAGGAATTTCAGGAGTAAACCATAAAGGCAGGCGGCGGAGGGAGCACTAGAACTGAATGTGATTACACAGCTCATTTTAAAGGTGATTAAGTCATGGAGTTGGGAGGAGAAAGAAATTGTTTGGAAATTGATTGTTGTGATGATTGTACATTTCTTCTTGACATGATTGAATTGTATTATGTGGATTATGTGCCAATAAAACTGAAAAGGGGGGGAAGCTACAATCTCGGAAGTCCACAGGAACAATTCTACCCTGTCCTTTAGGGTTACTGTAAGTTAGAATCGACTCACTAGCAGTGAGGGACTTAGTCTCACCAGGTTGTGAGTCTACCTGGACGAGAAAAAATATTCCATAGGCCAGGACCAAGGGCAGTCCAAGGAGCATCTGTGGTTTCAAACTGCTGGTCATGTGGATCGCAGCCCAACACATGACACCACCAAGGCTCTTTATCAGGAGAAAGGCTGGGCTTTCTATTCTTGTAAACAGTTACAGTCTCAGAAACCCACAGGGGGTCACTATGAGTCAGAAATGATTGGATGGCAGTGATCAGGAGATACCAGTCCCTGGAAAAGGACATCATACTTAGTAAAGTGGAAGATCAGTGAAAAAGAAGATCCTCAATGATAAGATTGACGTAGTAACTGCAACAATGGACACAAACATAAAAACTGTTGTGAGGATGGGACAGGACTAGACAGTGTTTCATTCTGTTATCCATAGGTTTGCTATGAATCAGAACTGTCTCAATGCCGCCTAACAACAGCCTGGTGATACTAAGGACCACTTGTAGCACACTGGGTTAAGCATTTGGTTGTTCGTGGAAAGGTCTGAGGTTTGAACCCACCAGCCAGTTTATTTAGGAGAAAGGAAAGGCAGTCTATTTCTGTGGATTTACAGCTCTGTCTACTCTGTCCAATAAGGTCACAGTGAGTAGGAATCTTCTCCACAGCAATGGAAAATAATTCCATGTCTAACTTGTGGAAGAATTACCAAACTGATTTTCTCGGGCACATAATTTTACACCCTACTGACAGTGGGTGCCGATGTCAGTTTCCCAATAGCCTCACCTACATTTGTGTGTTTCTGCTTTTCTGATCATAGCCTTCATATTAATATTGCTGTTTTTATTTTAATTTCACGAATGTTATATAGATTTTCATGGGAATATTAGTCACTTGTTTATCTTCTTTAGGAGTCTCTGGGTGGCACAGATGTTTAATAAAGTAGGCCACTAGCAGAAAAGTGGATGGTTTTAATTCCCCAAGAGGTGTCTCAGAAGAAGGGCCATTGAAAATACTATAGAGCACGGCTACAATGGCACAGTTGGGGCCACTAAATCTTGGAATTGACCAAGACAGCTGGTTTGGCTTTTTATATCTACTTTAGTAAAGTGTCTTTTCAAGTCCTTTGTCTATTTTTCTGTCAACCTCATGTAGTTTCCTTTATTTCTCAACAAATGATGTCAGTCTTGATTGAATTTCAATTTTTGCTGATTAAAAACATACCTGATATACTGAGATGTTGTTACATTGTTTGTATGACATTTCTTGCTCAAATATGAGACTCTAAGGCATTTAAGGGTACTCTAGTAATGATGACACTAATGGTAGAAAGCTTTTTACAAATTTTCCAGCTTCTAAAAGATAAAATTCATATTATGGGGCTTTTATGATAAGTAAAGTTAAAAGCTGGAAACCTGAAGGGTGCTGCAAACAGTCGTAGGGAGGTCTCTGACCTCCTGTAACTTCCCTCGGTGGAGAGAGAACCACCATCAACAGTCCAGGGCCCGTTCCTGTGGGGCAGAGTTCAGACATACCCCATCCTCCAATTTTTATCAATTCTGACACCAGCAGTGCCTCCCCTGACCCTGTCTACCCCCTGCTTATTTAATAATTCATGACAACGACCACACAGAACTACAGGGAATACTACAGTGATGAGGTTTCGTAGGGAAATAACAGGGTTTAATTCAGAATGAGAAACACTCAGAATACAATTATTCTATCAAAACAGTTTCCTTTCAGACAATCCCATAGGAATGCCCTGTGGCAGTTATATAATCTCCCGTCAACTTGAGTAAAGGGGTGGAGTATAGCCTGTCAATCAGGTCATAGCCAGTGATGCCTCTGTATAGGCATGGCCTTCTCCTGAGGATTCTGGGGACTCCTGTCTTCCTCCCTGGAGGTAGGACACACACTCTC